TTTCGGCTGCTGTAGTCAGTCTAACACCTCCACTTTCGCTTTCTGGATCCCTATTTGTCCGCCCCGCACCTCATAGCCCAGGTAGTGCACCGTTGCCTTTCCCCACCTGCATTTCTTCGGGTGGTAGGTGAGTCCCGCTGCTGCTAGCGCTTCTAGCGTTCGCTCCACGTCCCTGATGTGCTCTTCTTCTGTCCTGCTAAAGATGACTACGTCATCTATGTAGCAGGCGGCACAGTCCAGGCTCCGCAGCACGCTGTCCATAACCCTTAGGAAGATTGCTGAAGCGTTCCTCAGCCCGAAAGGCATGAAAAGCCATTCGTACAATCCGTCCGCTCCATGAAACGCGGTCTTGCGCACGCCCTCCTTCCTAATCCGAATCTGATTGAAGCCCTGCCTTAAGTATAGCGTGCTGAATATCTCTCCTGCCACCAGCCTGTCAAAGATCTCCTCCGCAGCTGGCATGGGGTAGCGATCTGGCACAGTCACCTTGTTAAGCGCTCTGTAGTCCTCGCACATGCGCCTGCTCAGTATCTCCCCCGTCAGGTCCTTCCTAGCCGCTATCATGGTCGGCGCGGCATACTCGGACTCGGATCGCTGAATCAGCCCCGCCTCTATTAACTCCTTGCATTTTTCCTTGCGAATATCCGCGTCCCCTGGCGTCATCCGCCGCTTCCTCTGGAACACCGGTTCCTCCGTCATTAATTTCAGCTCCATCTCCTTAACGGTGCATTTCCCTAACTCCTGCAAGGTGAAGGCGAAGGCATGGCGGAACCTGGCCAGCACTGCCTGCAGTGCCTTCCTTCCGTCAGGGCTCATTGCATCTCCCACCTCCCATTCTGCTTCCTTTGCTCCTGCTGGCATGCATGCCCATGCCCCCACCTTCTCTGCTACTTCCCTTGCCTCCTCCTGTCTTTGGGTGCTGTCCCAGACCAGTCCCCTCCACATCCTGCGCGTCAGCCACAGCATTACCTGTCCATCCATTGCCCTTCCCAGCGCGCTGCGCCTTTCTTGCTCTGTGACTCCCTCCGCCCGTGTTATGTCCTCCCCGTACCCCATCGCCAGCTCTCGCTCAAGCGCTGTTGGCTCTTCCCACTGCTTCTTTCGGTGGTCGTACACCATCCCTTCCCCTGCCTCGCCATTCTCCATTCTAAATCCCGCTGCTCCCTCAAAGGCCACCAGAGTTGGCCACGCCCTTCGCTCCTCCCCCACCTTGTTACACGGACACTGTGTCTCGTGTCTGCCCTTCTTCACTGGTGCCGCCATCCTCCCCACCTCCGGTATATCCTTCACTGTCCTGCCCCATGACTGCTTCACCCCATCTAGCTCCTCCTGCAGCTGGTCTTCCAGTACTACGTTCTGCCAATAGCGCCTTACCCGGTGCGCTCGTGCCCCCAACCTTGCTGCATCACATCTGACTCCCTTCCCCAACCGCTTTGTCACCATTTCCCTCACCCTTCTCACAAGCTCTCTCAAGTCCCCTTCCAGGTCCAAGTGCTCCAGTAGGTATGTTACTTCCCCCTGTCCTTCCTTTATCCAGTCCATAATGCGCAGCAGGTCTAACAGCAGTGCCCCCCTAGGATCCTCCATGCCTTTTCCCTTTCCCGCCCTCGATACCCCCTGGCACTCCCACCCTGCCACCAGTAGGTCCACGTGCCCCCAGCTGCGCACCATATCTCGTGTTATGTGTCTCACATCTCTCACCGTCCCACGCATGGCCCGCTCTATCACTTCTTCTCCCAACAGCTCTGGATACTCTTCATGCAGCTTCTTCGCGTGGTTCTCCGCCATCTTCCGCACTCGTGTATCCTTCTCCACGTATATCCATTCTTTGGCTGCAACCCCTGCTTTTAACACTGCTGCCAATCCTGCTCCTATCCCCTCGAATAGTTCCACCATCCTTATCGGCTGCAGCCAGTTGCTCCTCCTGTTCCCTGTGCCATTCAGCTCTGCTCCTTCCTCACCTCCCTGTCCTGCAATATACGCCCTTCTCGGCTCCTGCTTCACGAACCGCACAGGTAACTCACCCAACTCACTCCGCTTATTCCAGTACTGCCTCCTGAACTCCACTTACTCCTTCCAGGTGCATATTTGTTGTGTGATGCAACCATATGCATTCACGTCTGTCTGCCTCCCATCATGTGTTTGTGCGTTGCATGCGTGGTGTGAGCGTGTGCAAGAAATTTGTGTCTTGTGTGGTTTGGATTTTCTGAGTGTGTGTGAATGTTATTTGGCTTGAGCAGATATCTGAAGTGACTCCTCTGCTTAAGAGCTTTCCGACGAACCAAGTATCGCTTCAATCGGAGCACGAACAAGAAAGTTACGAACGTTGGAGTTCGTATGCTTTTGATATTTGGTTGTGGTGAATGGGGAGTTGTGGGGTTGACTCAATATGGGGTACAGACTTTTGGGGGTTGGGAAACTCGTCACTACTACTGTAGTTGCTGCCAATTGGTTGGGAGAAACCAAACCAGGTTGGCAAGTGTGGCCAAGTTGGGTTGAGGTGGATTGTGGAGGTTGGGATAGTGACAAAGGTCAAAGTTGGGTTGCCTATGGGAAGGGAATTGTGTGGCATGGGGTTTCCTTGGTTGGGGACTCTCTTGGGACCTTCCTTCTTGTCCTCCTCATCCCATCCCACCTGGTTTAGTGCTACTCCAACTCTCTTGTGTAGTTAATTGTGAGCTTGTGAGACAATTGTGATTGAGTTAATATTCTATGGCAGCATACCCCCTAGTGCGCCGAAATTCATAACTCAAGAAATACTTCACCTTATTGTACGATTCAAATTGGGAATTGTAGCCACAGACTAGAGCTACAACATATCTAAGTTTAGTGTAGTTTTAACAGTGCACCTTTTATCGACGGCGTTTCTTGTGAAGTCGACGTTTTCTGTCCAGAATTCTAAGCCAACGATTTTGAGAATTTTTGGCACCTAATCTTCGTTGACTCCGTCCTTAGTCTATAACAAGTGGTATCAGAGCTGATTAAGGACTTTGTGGAGAGTCTACTGAAGTGTGAAGATCCTCCTAGACCCACCATGGCCTGTGGGCGTGCCTAAGTGGAGTTCTGGAGGCTGGATGTGACTTCCGCTAAGGGGAAACTCTGCCGAAATTTCGTTGGCGCCGTCACTTGTGAAGATTGTGTGGATCTACATTGTGACCAGCAAAGGGGGGAGCTGAAACCTCTGATTGGGAGCAGAGGAGATGAATCAAGGGAGTGGAGATGCAGCTGAGAAGAGGAGTGAACCGCCACCATCCAAGATCGAAGCTTTGGATGGCTCCAACTACGAGGAATGGAGCGGGCCGATGCGGAGCGCCTTCAAGCGCTACAAGCTGCTGAAAATTGTAATGGGAGAGGAGAAGATGCCGGGGGAAGGAGACGCCCGCGATCGGTGGATTGAGAAGAGCGCGGTGCTGTACGACTTGATTCTAGAGTCGGTCAACAACGACATGTTCCAGCATATCAAGGATTTGGTGGAGCTCGATGACTCGGGACCGAAGGCGTGGAAGCTGCTACGCGACGTGGCTCAACCCAACACGCTGCCGATGGTGATCGTATTGGAGAAGGAGTTGGCTGCCCTCTCCATGCAGTCGGGAGATGATGTGAAGCCGGTCCTTGACAAGATCAAGGACACCTATGCGAGGATAGCAGCGGCGGGCAGCGAAGTGTCGCAGATGCAACAGTGCACCAAGATCATCTCGGTGCTCGACAACTCGTGGGACAACCTCATCCCCACCCTCAACGTTCAGCAGGACAAATGGACGCCTGAGTGGCTACGGCAGCAGATCCTGCAGGAGGACTTCCGCAGGCGCCACACTGGAGGTGGTGCTGCCAACAAAACTGCTGAGGGGTATGGAGCTGCAGGAGGCACCAGAGGGAGAGGGGGAGGGAGAGGCCGAGGCCGTGGGAGAGGCTTTGGCAGAGGGAGAGGCCGAGGTGACTACAATGAGGGGCATGGGAGCTCTGGTGGCAGGGGGAGTACCCGAATGGAGGGTGCGTGCTGGTACTGCAAGAAGGCTGGACACCCATGGTTCAAGTGTTTCAGCCGGCCTGAAGGATGGGCGCCTCCAGGCATGAAGCCGCCAAGTGGTGAACGTGCACGAGGTGGTGCTGTGCAAGGTTCAGGTGCACAAGGTAAAGCCGACCCTGGTATGTTCCTCATGGTTGAGGACGTGCAAGGGAGTGGGGGTGATGTGGGTTCAGTTGGGAAGGTTGTGATGCACCCCCTCACTCACTGGGTGATCGATTCAGGTTGCACGAGTCACATGACTCCACGGGCAGATTTGCTTGATGAGGTGAAGCCCCCTGGGAAGATAAAGTTTGTGGCTGCCTCTTCAGGTGCCTTGCTCCCTCTGATTGGTGTTGGGAATGCCAAGGTTATGGGAGCTAATGGGGGGCTTGTGGGGCTGGGAAATGTGCTTTTGGTTGAAGGAATATCCGCTAACCTCCTCTCTGTGCGCCGGCTGCAGAAAAGCAAGGCCAAAGTTACGTTCGGCCCAACCTGCTGCCGTGCAAAGCTTGGGAAGTTGCTGCTGTGGAATCTGGAGGAGAAGAGCAGCTGCATCAAGGACTTGTGGCAGCTGCCCATCATCCCTTGGAAGGGGAAACCACCAGCAACGGCAAAGGCAGCGGCAGCGGCTAAAGCAACAGCGGGAGGAGAGGAGACTGCACCAACTGATGGGGCCCTAGATGCAATCAAGAAGGTGCAGCAGCCACAACAGCCACATGGTGAGGTGCTTGCTGGTGTGGATGCAACAGCTGCATGGGCAAAGGCTTCATCTGGGAGTGGTGAGGCTGATTGGGAGACGTGGCATGAGAGGCTGTGCCATGTGAACATTCCTATGCTGCAGAAGTTGGTAAAGGATGGGTGCTTGAAGGGGCTGGAGGTGAAGGGGGGAGCAAAGGAGATTGGGAGCTGCCCTACCTGCCTTGAGACCAAATTCACGAAGTTTCCCTTTAGCAGCAGCACAGGACCAGCAAAGGCACCACTTGCACTAGTTCACATGGATGTGGTGGGCCCCACGAGGGCCCTTTCTCTCTCGGGCAGCCGCTACTTCTTGACAATTGTGGACGACCACACGCGTGCGGTGTGGGTGTACCCTCTCAAGACTAAGGGGGAGGTGGCAGCGGCTGTTCTTAAGGAGTGGATGCCGAGAGCACAAAGGGAGAGCGGACACAAGGTGAAGGTGATCCGCACTGACAACGGAGGAGAGTTCATCGGCGCTGATTTTGAGAAGGAGCTGAAGCGGAAGGGGATCCAGCATCAGCTCACAGTGCCTTACAACCCTCAGCAGAATGGCGTGGCTGAGCGGTTCAACCGGACCCTGCAGGAAGGTGCTCGCACTCTCCTTGGGCGTGCAGGGCTGCCGGATCCGTTTTGGGTGACAGCACTGCGGCAGGTCGTTGTTGTGAAGAACCGGGTGCTGGCGACTGTGGGGGACAAGCAATGGGTCCCCTACACCAAGTGGTATGGGAGTGTGCCTGCAGTCAACATGCTGAGAACTTATGGCTGTATGGTGGTGTTTCATGTGCCTAAGGAGAAGAGGGGAAAACTAGAAGCTTCTGGGAGATGGGGTGTGCACTTGGGGCTTGCTAAGGATCACAAGGGCTGGCTGATTTGGGACTTGACCAGCCAGCAGCTGACTGTGTCGAGGGATGTGAAGTTCCTTGAGTCCTTGTACTACAAGGAGTGGAAGCAGCAGCAGCAGAAGCTTCCCACTACACCGCTGATCATTGAGGCTGATGAGGTGCAGCGGCCTTCGAGGCAAGTGCAGGTCACTGTCTCAGAGGAGGAGATTTCTGGGGTGACTGAGGATGGGAGAGAACCTGAGGTGGAGGAGCAGCAGCAGCAGCAGCCACAGCAGCAGCAGCAAGGTGCTCCACAAGGTGCCGCGCGTCCGGCTGACCGTCCCCGGAGGGAAGTGCGCCCTCCTAACCGGCTGACCTATCCGAGCTTTGGCAAGCCAAAGGTAGTACGGGCTGGGAGTGTGGCTGAGCAGTGTGATGAGGATGAGATAGCACACTGCTACTGGGCAGCCGTCCCTGAGCCCAAGACGTTAGCCGAGGCATTGAGTGGGCCCGACGCTGAGAAGTGGAAGAAGAGTGTGAAGGAGGAGTATGACTCTCTGCTGGAGAATGAGACGTGGGAGCTGTGTGAGCTGCCACCTGGGAAGAAGGCCATTTCTTCTAAGCTGATCTTCAGGCATAAGTACGGACCCGATGGGGAGTTGACCCGCTACAAGTCAAGGCTTGTGGCTAAGGGGTTCCAACAGACGAAGGGGAAGGATTTTGATGATATCTTTGCTCCTGTAGGGAAAGGCACTACACTGAGGACGATGTTGGCAATGGCTGCAAACCGTGGCTGGAAGATCAAGCAGATGGACATAATCACTGCATTCCTCAATGGAATCATTCTGGAGGAGTTGTACATGCTGCAGCCTGAGGGGTTGGATGATGGGAGCGGCAGGGTGTGCAGGCTCAAGAAGGCCATCTATGGCCTGAAGCAGGCTCCTCGCGCATGGTACCACAAGCTGGAGGAGACACTGCTGGTCGGGGGGTTCAAGAAGAGCGAGTGTGATCACAGCCTGTTCCTGCTGCAAGAGAAGGAGCACTTCCTCATGCTCCTGGTGTACGTGGACGACATCCTGCTCTTCTCTGAGTCGTCTGCAATGATTGAACGAGTGGAGGAGATGCTGGAAATGCAGTTCTAGTGCTCCAAGATGGGAGATGTGAAGTACTACCTTGGGATGCATGTGGAGAGGGACCTTGACAAGGGAGTGTTGAGGTTGCACCAGAGAAAGTATTGTGAGGGGCTGGCTAAGAAGTATGGGCTGCAAGATGGAGGAAAGCCAGCCACCCCAGTGCCTTCGGGGTTCACTGTGGAGCCCTGTGGTGATGAGGAGGTGGTGGGTGAGAGTGACAGGAAACTTTTTCATTCCATGGTTGGGGCACTCAACTATGCGGCTAACCACACACGGCCTGACATTGCCTTTGCAACATCTAGGCTTGCCAGTGTGGTTTCACGCCCCAGTCATGAGCAGCTCGAAGCGGCCAAGAGGTTGGTCCGCTATGTGAGCGCTACAGCGTCTGTGGGTCTGGAGTACAGTGCTGTGAGGCAAAGGCTGCAGAGGGGTGCAGCTGATTTGAGCAAGGGGGAGATGCGCCTGACTTGCTACACCGACGCTAGCTTCAACTCTGTGAAGCCATATGGCACCAGCACTGGAGGCTATATGTGCCTCTTTGGAGGTGGTGCAGTGAGCTGGCGCAGCAAGAAGCAGAACGAGGTGGGGCTGTCCTCGTGTGAGACCGAGTACATGGCCCTTCATCATGGGGCAAAGGAGGTGGTGTGGCTGAGGCGTTTGTTGGAGGAAATCGGAGTGTGTCAGAGGGAGCCGACTGTGATTTTCTGTGACAATACGTCGGTGATGAAGCTTGCGAAGAATGCTTGTCTTCATGGCTTGACAAAGCACATCAGGCCAAAGTGGCATTGGACAAGAAGGCTCCTGGACAAGGAGGTGCGGCTGGAGATTGTGAAGACCCATCAGCAGGCGGCTGACATTCTCACCAAGCGCCTGGCTGAATCTGAGCATTGGAAGGGCATGAAGCTTGCTGGGATGAGTGTGCATTGAGAGTGCATGCTTGAGCCATGGAATGTGGGATGATGGTTGGCAGCCAGAGGGGGAATTTGTTGTGTGATGCAACCATATGCATTCACGTCTGTCTGCCTCCCATCATGTGTTTGTGCGTTGCATGCGTGGTGTGAGCGTGTGCAAGAAATTTGTGTCTTGTGTGGTTTGGATTTTCTGAGTGTGTGTGAATGTTATTTGGCTTGAGCAGATATCTGAAGTGACTCCTCTGCTCAAGAGCTTTCCGACGAACCAAGTATCGCTTCAATCGGAGCAGGAACAAGAAAGTTACGAACGTTGGAGTTCGTATGCTTTTGATATTTGGTTGTGGTGACTATGGGGAGTTGTGGGGTTGACTCAATATGGGGTACAGACTTTTGGGGGTTGGGAAACTCGTCACTACTACTGTAGTTGCTGCCAACTGGTTGGGAGAAACCAAACCAGGTTGGCAAGTGTGGCCAAGTTGGGTTGAGGTGGATTGTGGAGGTTGGGATAGTGACAAAGGTCAAAGTTGGGTTGCCTATGGGAAGGGAATTGTGTGGCATGGGGTTTCCTTGGTTGGGGAATCTCTTGGGACCTTCCTTCTTGTCCTTCTCATCCCATCCCACCTGGTTTAGTGCTACTCCAACTCTCTTGTGTAGTTAATTGTGAGCTTGTGAGACAATTGTGATTGAGTTAATATTCTATGGCAGCATACCCCCTAGTGCGCCGAAATTCATAACTCAAGAAATACTTCACCTTATCGTACGATTCGAATTGGGAATTGTAGCCACGGACTAGAGCTACAACATATCTAAGTTTGGTGTAGTTTTAACAGTGCACCTTTTGTCGACGGCGTTTCTTGTGAAGTCGACGTTTTCTGTCCAGAATTCTAAGCCAACGATTTTGAGAATTTTTGGCACTTAATCTTCGTTGACTTCGTCCTTAGTCTATAACAATATTGTCATTCCTACCTTGTACACTAAGTCGGTTCCCAGCAGCACATCAAAATCTTCTGAGTCCGAGATGCCGCACTGCACTCGGATCCTTGTCTCCCCTTCTTGTCCTGGCAGCAGCACTATCTCCACAGGTGTTTTTGTGCTTGGCATCCACTTCGGCGCCCCTCCCTCTGCTGTCATCACCAGCATCCCCTTTTTAACGTACTGGCCTGGCCCCGTCAGTCCCAGCTTTTGTGCCATCTTCCTTCCCACCATCACGCTCTGTGCCCCCGTATCTATGATTGCTGTTCCTGCCCGTTCTCCCCCTACTGTTATGGCCCCTGCTTCAACTACCAACACTGTCGTCTGGCTGGCCAGTCTGTCCTTGGGGTGCCGGTGGGCTGTCCCTGCCTGCCCCTCTGTCCTTGCTGTCTTCTGCTCAGGTCTACGGCGTTCCTTCATCACCTGCTCTTTACACTTGTCCATCCCTCCGCTTCGTAACCCTAACTCCTCTCTTCTCCGCAGCACCGCAAATGACCACTTCGTTTTCTGCTCCTCCTCCTCCCCATCTTCTTCCTCCTCTCTTGCATACATTCCTGCCTCCCTCTCCTTCTTCCCTCCCATGTCCCGCAACTGTGCCTGTGGCCTACCAATCTGCTTCTCTATGTCCTCGGATGACCTCTTTGGCCCACCTGTCCTTTGATAGCAGTCCTTTGCCTGATGTCCCTGTTTCCCACACACCTCACATTTGGGCGCGTCCGGGCATTCCCTCCGGCGGTGCCCAGGCTTGCCACATGTGTCACAATTCTTGCAGTCCCTCTCTATATGCCCTTGTTGCCCACATCTGTGGCAGGTGCGTGTGTCCACCCTTCTCTCCTGCCGATTCTCCTCCCTTGTCCCCTCCTCGGGTATCATTGCTGCTGCCCAGGTAGGTTTTCTTTCTTCTGCCGCTTTTGGCAGGTAGGCCTCATACCGCCGCTGCGCCAGTTCCACCTTTTCCGCCAGCTCAAACACCTCCTCTAGTGTGGCCTCCGCCCCTAGCTCATATACCCGCATTCTCAGCCCCCCGCTCAACCCCTTGTCCAGTCCCCCCAGGAACTTACTTATGAGCATGCTGCTGTCCGTGCATACGACATCTTCCACCAGGTTCATCAATCTCCCGTAATAGGTAAGCAGTGACTCTATTTTCCCCCGTCTAAACTCTTGAAACTCCCTAATCCTTTCCGCCGTATGCCCCGGGAACTGCTTCCGAAGGCGCTCCAGGAACAGTATCGTGGGGTCCTCATCATCCTCCTCCGCCCTTCTCAGCCACTCCTTCATTTTCATGCGGTACAGCGTCTCTGCCTCCCCTCCCAAGGTGTTAGGCAAACTTAAGAAGAACTCGATCGGGTCCATTCCGCTACGGTCACAGCGGTACTTCACGTTACCTATCTGCATAAGGTAGTTCCTCAGGTTGCTCCCTGTCCCTATGTCTCCCGTGAACCTCACCGGCACCTCCACCCGTGGCATTGCTGCCACACTCCATCTCCCCGTCTCCCACGTCCCTGACTGCTCTCCTGCCGGATGGCCGTACTCCCTCCCCCTTGCTCCTGATCGCCTGCTCTTTGTGCTCCCTTCGTACAACGCACGCTCTATGCCTTCCCTCGCAGCTCTTGCTCCCCTAGAGCCTTCCCTCACACGCTCAGACCTTCCCTGCCATCCCGGGCTCGGGCTACGCCTCTCGCTGGCCTTCGCGCGGCTCTCTTCTTGCCTTTCCCTGCGTTGACCCCTTGCCTCAGGTGATTCTCCGTCCTTGCGCCGGTCTTGCTTACCATGCCTGCGACGGGCCCGGTCATACTCCTCTTTGCTCTCAGACTCAGTCTCAATTTCCCGTTCCTGGCGACGCCTCTCATATCTCTGTTCCTCCTCTTCTTTCCTCCTTCTTACCCCATCCTCAGGTGTCTTTTCCGCCTCTGAATTTCCTCGCGATAATCCTCTCCTTTCCTCACGACGCTTATTTCTTCTCTGCTGTCGATCATCCGCGTCCGCGCGCGACCTTCCCCCCTCTTCTCGTTCGCTTCGCGCATCTCTCTCATGGCGATCCCCTCCCTCATACGGCTCTGGTGACCTTCGCATGCCCATCGCCCTTCGTTCCCTCCTCCCGTACCTTTCACGCGGCTCAGGTGAACAGTACGCCTTTGCCTGCTCGCGCTGATGGCGGACACCTTCACCGCGTCCGACTGAAAAGGGATCTGCTTCCGCGCGCGCGCGACGCTCTCTTCCGTTCTCACGTACTGGATCCGTCGCGTCGCGCTCCGTCCCTTCTCCCTTCTGGCCCGTTTCTCCGTCCTCATGCTCCTCCGCATCCGCGGCCTCTCCCTCTTCAGGTTCCTTCACGCCGTCCCGCGCAATTTGGACATCGTCATCGTCGACCCCGTCGTCCTTGCTTGACGACTCTAACTGGTCGCGCACATCAACCTCCTCGAGGCGCTGGACGCCCTTGCTGCGACTCGGCAGATTCCAAGGATCGCTTCGCGTGGTTAGTGACCTGGAAACTGACTTCGCAAAACGTCCAAGCTCACCTTCCGCGCGCCGATTCCTTTCAAGCATTACCCGATCCGCGCGGTATGCTTCCGTACGCGGTGAGCGTACTGGCGATCTCCCGCGCTCTCATGAGCGCATCCTCC